ACTTCACCCAAATTGAACCTAAAATCATAACATCTTTATCTACTAGCATTACTATGTCTGGGGAAAGTAAGTATGTGCATGATGGTACCATTTGTTCAGCATCTCAGTGGATTTTTTTTCTGCAGACTTGTTCCATGACTCCATGTAACTCTTTATATTAAGAAATTAAAACTTACGGTAACCAACATGTGCACTCCAGCACAACACTAAAAGCAACTTCAGGTTCTTGCTATTTCCAAACTTTAGTCAATCTAGCGAGCCCCACCCAAACACCAAAAAAGTCATCTGTTCAGGTCTATATTCTCTAAACCACTGCTGCAGCCTAAACCTTAAGAACAGTTAGCCGAGGAAGACATGCTGGAAGTAGATAAAACCTCAATCACAAGCCTTGGCTGAATCCTTATCCTGGGCATATGGGAATTCAAGTATGAACTGGCAATGCCAGTATTTTTTCTGTTCTTACTGTCCCAGCCTTTAATAGCAAACATTAGGCAATCCTAGGCTTTGGGGTAGCAATCCAATGTACAACAGCAGTGCAGCAACCTGCTACTCATCGCAATCAATCAGGCACACAGCTAAGCTTAAATCACTTCTTCCAGGCAGTCCAGGCTTCAGCCTGTCTCTGCAGGTTCTTACGGATCCATCAGCAGTAACTATAGCACAAAGTTACTGCTCTCCCTGAAAACAATTCCAGCACCACACTGACCTTCCCCTCTACATCAGTGACCTCTGCCTGTGCCACAATTATCCCTAAATCCCTTGCCTCACTTGGCACTATCAACTCACTTTTGTCCCTAATATCCCAAACCCTAATTCAGATAGAAGCTGATGGCTCAAGTTTAAATCAGAAGATTGGGTTTGACGGCATAGAGCTTCATCAAAGTAATTTAAAAAGCATTTTAATACATTATCCATTCTTACTAGCCAGAATCTCTTTTCAGTGCCGACAAAGACTTCAATTCCTATTCACTATGACCACTGAAGCCTGGGAAAGATCAGATTCTCAGTAGCCTCTAATGCTTTAATTAAGAAAAGCTATTAGAACAGCAGTTCTTTTGAGCTCTTCAGCCTGTCATCTCTAGCAACCTGGCTAGCTCCTGAAGGGAACTGCTACCTAATTAGAAAGCAGGAATGAAGAGACACCCATGCAAAGTCTGTCTGAGTCCACTACCTTTTTAATGAGTCTACCTGCTTTGTGTGCTTCCAAGGTCCCACTCCAGCACTGCAATATATCCACCAATAATTGCTGTTTATTTTCTACAGTGCAGATGTACTCTGCTGACTGTTGTAAGCATTTATGGGGGAAAAGAGAAGCCTCATCTCACTGGAAATCAAGCAAAGTAATTTCAAGGTTATCGAAATATATTGTCCAGATGTGTTTGTACACATTACTCCCAGAGGAGTTCTGCATTAACATTATCCACAACAGTTGAAATTACAACACTGAAATTCTTTGTGGTAAACACTGACAGCTCTCAGGGTGATTTTTTTACAAATTATTTCTAAAAACTATTAGCTGTTCTTCTTTTTTATACTACCAATATTTCTATTCAGTATTTCAATTGAGAAACATAAAAGAAAGTGAGTAGTATTTAGTATCAAAAAGACAATATTAGACAAAAGCTAAAATACTTTCGACATTGTTATCCCTGCAACTGCAAATTGTGTTCAAAAATAAAGCAGAGATCTTCAGGGAAAACCTAGCTTGCAATTACCACAGAACACTAAAATTTCAAGACATTTTGCCAGGCAGCCTGCGAACATCCCATTCCTCTTTCAGATACAGGGATAGTAATATTACCTAAGTTCTCACAGACTTACACAAAATTTGTACAGTGGAAGTTGACAGTCACAAACGCACTGAACAAGCTTGGTAACAATGAACATAAACAGACGTCAAGGAAATATCTAGTAAGTAACTGTCATATCTCCAACGAACACAACTCCAGTCTTACAGTATTTGTGTACGATTCACTCCCAATCTCCACAACCCACTAAAAAAAGACAACTTGGTAAGCTGCCTTTGATAAAACACTTATGATGACTACCAATACTTGCCTACTATTTCAAGAAAATCAGTACCTGTGGAAACATAGAGCAATCTGTTCAGCACAGGAATGACCAACCAAAATGAGGACTGAGTCACAGGATTACATAGTACAGCATCATTCTCTGTTTCATGAGAAAATGGGGCTAGTTCTTCTGTAAAATTTTCAATTTAAGACAAAATTTACAGGTAAGTTTAGAATAAGCTGTTACTAGCTTTCTTTGATTTAAATTGATTATCTACAGCTCAACACATGCTAAAGCAACATTTTCCCTGACATTTTAAATGAGAAGGTTTATCAGATCAGCTGCTGAACTTGGAAAGAGATGCATTGGTCTTACACCAACATTTTTCCATCCATCCATTCATCCATCCATCCATCCAAACGGCCTTAACAATATTTCAGAATGATAAAAAGTGAGCAGGGATAGGTTAATTGGAAAATTAGTATCAGAGTTGCTAAAAGTTTAGATTTTTCATGTCACAGATTTTCTCATTTCCCCTTTTACATTACCAGCATTTCTGGTAATAGATATATTAATATAAGTATTAATTGATACAAACAGAAGTAAGTGTGTATACTAAAAGATGTTCTGTCAAATGAGATTATCCATTTTAATTTATTTATTTTTAATTTTTTAAAAAAGGATCACGTCATCTCTTCATATGCCTAAGTAACTTTCAGGACAGTAAGATGTCATATGGAAATGTGTTTAGCACATACACTGAAATATCCTGTTTATAACAAAGGCACTCTATATCACAGTGGCACAGCAGATAAACCCAAAAGACATGATACAGTTTAAACAGAAGTTATAGGCTTAATGAAAAAAAAATAATACAAGCTATATATTCTGGGTTATGGAAGTTTTGCATTACAGATTATTGTAACAGTTTCTCCCATAGCTTAGTACCATAGGTCACTAAATCACCCTTACAACATTTTCAAACTACTATACTTTCTGTAAAATAGCTTTAGTGGAGTAAACATTCCTGCGCTTCAATTGTAGCAAACACTGAATTAACATTGACATATGCTAATCATTAGTTCCAATACAATTAGTTAATAACCGCAGAATGAGAGACAAATCATGTCTCCTGTCCTTTAGGTCCAACATGAGATTTCAAATACAATGTGAGTGTATCTCCTAGTTTGTATTTGAGAGGCCTTTCAATAAACCTTAATACCATTCAAATAGTTTCTAATTAAATATTCTAATCTCAGTTGACACTGGGAAAACAATTTGCTAATCTGATTTCTCCATCATGGTCTTACTTAATAAAGCCTAAAGTAATAATGTACTACAGAAAAAGACAGGCACTGCTCTAGATATTCTAATACAAAACCTCCTGTCATAAGAATGATTCTTTTACAAGTTATTATGCATGATACAGGAAAGAATTAACAATTTTACTAGAAAAGCAGACTCTCCAAAAAAGAGACATCTAAATTTAATGAAACAGCTTGCAAATCTCACAATGTAAGAATGCCACTTAGGGGACAAAACCTTAAATACTGGCCAAAGTCTTTTGGATGACAGCCCATTCAGTTTCATATACACTGGGAAATAAGAAAATACTTCTCTCTCACAGTGCTAAAAACCAAAAGTGACAGTTCAGATATTGACAGAATAAATATATATATAAACTCCTTGAAGCAGTCAATATGAGCAGCTGCACGGCTGTAGCCAAAAGAAACAAACAAAATAAGTCAGTAAGCAAATGGATGCAGTGAGGAGAAGGGGGGAAACAAAACACAGAAACAGAACTCCCAGGTCAAAAGCGAAACAACTAGCAACAGTGAAATAAAGTCAATGTTTTCTATTTATTTATTTATCTCTGCAGGAAGTTCACACATTCACAGAAATACACAAATTCACATGGTATACCTAGCAAACAGTGAATCATTTTAAAATACCTCAATAGATGCTACTTACACTAAAATATTTAAGGAATTAATAGGAAGAATGATTATCTTAATACTTAATTTCCTCACATTAATTACAACATAAAGCAAACACTTAAGGCTATATTTCCCTTCTGCAAATGAAACCGATGTGCTAACAGAGTTATTAACCATTTTCCCCAAAAAAATTCTGCTAGCATAGTTCCTCTGATAAAAACTGAAGGTGTGTATTCCCCAAATTAACTGTCCCAAATCACACTTTTCGGGTTCTTTTAAGCCCAAACAGCCATTTCAGCGAACACTCAACTTCTGCCTGCTCCTGACCATTAAGTCAAACATTTCACACAACATGCTGCCCCTCACATATCAAAACACCCGCACCACAAAGCTAGTGACCCACCTGTGTATCCAATGTGCCATCATGTCCTCGCTCCTATTGCTGCACCCAGGCCCAAGGGACATTGGGACCCACTGGGCCAGGTGCTGGACACACAGTGTATCACACTGGTGGGATGATGCCACCAGGCAGGCGTGTGAGAATCGTGTAAAAATGGTTTGGGTTGGCAGGGACTTTAAAGCTCACCTAGTTCCAACTCCCCTGCCACGGGCAGAGACACCTCGTACTACTAGAAGGCCCCACCCACCCAACCCATTCAACCCCATGCAAAAAGTACCACAAGAGGAAGGAAACACAACTTCCACACAGCCTTGCGTTCAAACAAACAAACAGAATATGCCAACACCCAAGAGCAGCCAAGCCCCACACCATCCACTGAAACAGCTTTTAATCAAACACCCACTTATGCAAGTAAACTTTCCCAGGGTGCACTGTCTGCAAGCACCGGTATCCAGCCTGCACCGGCGGCGACACGGCCGCGGTTCAGGACGGCAGAAGGGGGCACCAAGCCGCAGCGAGCCGCCCAGCCCTGCCGGCCGCAGACCTCAACGGCGGTCCAGGCCTGAGGAAGGCGCTGGGAAGCCGCGGGGGCCGCGCGGCACCCTGCCGTGTCTCCCGCACCCTTTCTCCTTTCCCCCTGGGACTCCTACTCTTTGGCGAAGACGCCCAGCGCTATGGAGCTGGAGCGGCTGCCCAACTCCTTCTTCTTGCTCCCCTTGGAGGCCATGACCGCGTGTTCCGCCGCGTCCGCCGTGTTGCCAGGCGACAGAGTCTGCCGGAGGTGGTGGCCCCAGCCGGTCGTGAACCGCGGGGCGGTGGCAGGAAGGGCTGGGCCCTCAGGGGCACGGGAAAACCGCGGGAGGGGCGGCCGCGGGGCGGCTCGCCGCCCTCTTCACGTTGAAGGGACCAACAACCTGGTGTAAAGTCGTTTGGGGAAATAGGCTTAGCGTTGAGGGTGGTGACACACTGCTTCCTGAGCTCATGCATGGGCTTCAGGGAGCTTCCCATAGACAATCATCAAATGGTTTGGGTTGGAAGGGACCTTAAAGCTCATCCAGTTCCAGCCCCCCACCATGGGCAGGGACACCTTCCACTAGACCAGGTTGCTCAAAGCCCTGTTCGACCTGGCCTTGGCCAATACTCTGAAAAAAAGCTTAAGACATAACTCATTATTTACAAATAGTCTAATCACATGACTAAGTTTCTACTGAACAAGAGCAAAAGTACCAATTTAAAATGGTAGCAGTTTCCCCCCTCCCTTGTTACACCAGTACGTATCAACCACATGAGAAGGAAGCCAAAAAAAAAAGAATTGGTCCTGGAGCCCGGAGAGGTTTTTAAAGCTGGAATGTGCAAGTATTTTTTTTTTTTTTTTTCTCCTCAAAATGATGCAACTAATGAATTACTGGTATGAAGCCTACAAGTATCAAAGTGAAGAGAGTTCCACCAAGGTCTGGTAAAACTAATATTAATCAGGTACTTTTTAATTGAGCGGCTAGTTGCCTTCAATTAAGCTAAGCAGACTTTTTCAGATACAGTCTAGAGATCATGTTATGGCCCACAACTCTTGTTTCTAACAACTTATTTGCGATTTCCAAATCTATAGTGCATGATGAAAAATCCATAATAAAGCAGAACATATTTCTTCACTCATCCTTATTCAAGCTAAATCTCTTTGAAATATAAAAATCAATGAAAATTTGTCAAATTGCAGAGGGCATGAGAAGGTCAAAAGAAACAAGGAAATATATGCGGATGTGCTACATCTAGAGGCTTATTTTAGACAAATGTCAGATCTTGATTTATATCAAGATGACAGAAAGCCAGCTATATACTTCTAAATTTCAAAGTGGAAAACTCCTCCACATCTTTGTATTTCTTTCAGGATTATGTTCAACAGCATCCATTTTAAATAAGGTACCTTAGGACACTTTTCACGTGAGAACCAAGTAACAATTTCAGCTTTATTTTTTTATTTCTAAACTGAGCAGCTGATCTCTCTTCAACCAATTATTGATCAGAACATGCACGTGAATAACAGCAGAGACAGAGGTGAGTTCAAGCTGCTCGCTACTGCTTCAGTACCAGAGCAGGGCTATCAACCTCCACACCTTGCTGGATGCCGATGGAAACTTTCAGACTGAGGCTGGAGCTTACAGGTCTGAGTTTGTGACCAGAACACAAATAAAATCACCTCAGATAATCTGTGATTCCTGTCTATTCCTCTGAATCCCTTTTCCTTTTCTATACTCACTGAATGTAGAAACTACTGTGGAGAAGTATCCATAAATATAGGTGTGAGAGGCTTCCTGATCCCACTGCAGATGACCAGTGAGGTCTGTAGCATCCCAGCAAATATAATTCTTGTAATACAATTACGTGAAAGAAAAGTAACTGAAATTTGAGTGCATCTATCTGTAAACATTTTGTGTGGTGAAGGTGAAAAAGCAGAGAGAAATCAGAACAGAATATATGTAAGCTAAGAAGTCTTTCATTCTTTGCTCTGTTAAACGACAGCTACTATATATGAAATTCAGAATGCACCTTTTTACCATAAAAATCTACAGTAAGTTTGCTTGCAAAGTGTAATGGCAATAAACACGTTATCTAGGTGCTTTGTGAATGAAAAAAAAAAAGACTCTCAAGGTTTGCATCCATCAAGTTACAACTTTTTATTTATCCAACGACTCAATTTAGAATTCCATAACGTTACAGCAATGACAACTGCAACTTGTTTGGAAAAAGAAGTTTTAAAAAAGCTAGTCCCCTAACTGGCAAAGAATCTGTTTGGTCAGATCAGCTGCTTGACTGGCCTCATGTCGCAAGCCATGAAATACATCTGACAGACACCCCCTGAAGGGAAAAGTTGCTAGGGCAGAGGCAGCCTCACAGTTGGTAAATGTGAAATAAATACAAAAGACAATAAAACAAAAATGGTCTATGTTAGGAACCCATTGAGATGTAGCTAAGCAAATACTGAGATAACAGGTACTGGTGAATGATGGATAGGTGGTATTCTAGTCACTGTTCTTCTAAGACACCATTCAAAACACTGTATTTTTTTTTTTTCACTCTTAAATCACCACATCATTAACTGCTATAGCTCACACAAGTCACTTACAGGAAAACAGTCTTGTCCTGTAAGGCTGTTCAATCCCAAATATTTTGCACTTTTTTATAGCTATAAATACTAGTTGGAGAGAGGAGAGAATCCTATGAACCAAAACACTACAAAAGCCCCTCTCAGGAGTCATGGAGCTCAGACTTAACTCTGATTTTACAGAGGGTACAAGGATTCTGGAACAAGACAGGAGAAAGATTTTGCCTTAAGAGAAGGCCTGGAGTGTGGTAGAGGTGCAAATCTTCATGTGCAGAAATACCTGACAGGGAGGCTAAGGATACTCAGATTCTTCTGAGAAGTGCTCAGTGGTAGTATTAGAGACAACGTGAACATTGAAATACAGGAAATTCCTCTTAAAAATAGGATTTTATATTTCCTTTACTACAGTGAGGTCCAACACTGCAACAGGTTTCCTAAGAGACCGTAGAGTCTTCCTCAAACAACATGGGCATGAGTAACTTGCTCAAGCTCTGATCAGGGCTGTAGGACTACATGAGGACTACATGCAGGACTACTCTCAAGGCCCCTTCCAAGCTTACCCATTCTGTGCATCTGCAAATTTTCCATGAAAAAAAAGGGGTGAAAGTTAAACATAGAAACTTCTGTAAGAACAAATACTATATCTTCAAGCATGAGGCTACAGCAAAGTTAAAGAGGAGATGAAAGTAGAATGGATTTTCTTCTGCTCTTACTTCCACTACTCTTCTGTTTATTTACTAAGTGAAAGAATAGGTGGGAGTGAGATAAGGAAGGTACAGGTCTGTGGGAAATTGTGAATGAGGGAGGAAAATGGTGGGTGGGTATTTCAGGAACAGCAGACAGTAAAGAAAAATGGAGCTTGTGAGGAGACTGGCAAAGCCTGAGAAAAAGGAAACCCTTCAGTTTGTGATAGAGCTTTGGAGGAGCAGCCTGCACACACAGTTAAGAACAGCCAGCTGCTGAGGTGGCATAGGACAGGGAACTGAACTTCAGCAAAACCATCCTCAGACAGGCTGAAACTATCCAGAAACAGTTCTATTCTGTTAATTCTTAAGTTAGCCTGAGGTTAATAAGTGAAGTGGGGGAATGGAATTTACAAGTACCTTGGGTAAACTGATGGGAGTAAGACAAGGTACAAGTAGAAAATTGCAACCAACTACATAACAGACTTCTAAGCACAGGACCTCCTGCCCACTGCTATTTCAAAAAAGTCTTATGGTTCTGTGTCTCATCTGATCTTACCAGGGGCATATTTTTTCTGGCACTCCAGCTTCCTCTGAATTTGACATGGTGCTAGAAAGGATCCTGAAAATGCCCAGCTAAATTACCATTTCCATTGCTGGAGTAGCTTTTGATCACACTGCCATTACAGAGTCTCTTTCTGGGGTGAAGACAACCCTTAAATATTTGGTAAAATAGTCAGCACCTGCCCAAGCCCAATTTAAATACAGAAGTACCATTGAACTCTGTGGGACCCCTCAATGCACACACCTAACTTTTAGCCAGGGTTTTCACAAACTCAGGACCACCGCAATCTTGATCACCTCTTCACTTAAATACTGGGGGAAAACAATGTAGGCAGCCAGAGCAGGCAGCAGGGGAAAATAAAGAGAACTGGCCAGCACCATTACCTTTCTTTTGTAAATTTACATTTGATGACTTACAGCAAGAATATCTTCCTATGTCAAAATGCAAGACTCCCTGGTTTTGATACCGTTCAAAATCCCTATCTGAAGTTTGGAGTTAAGGGCAACTGTGGTACTCTAACTACTAGAACTTATAAAAATGGGGATACTGACAGCAGAAGCAGTATTACCCTCAAAAAAAAAAAAACCAAACCCATCCAAAATCTTTGAAATCTTTGGTTAAATGATGTGATGATTGTAGCCTGAGGGATGGAAGGATATTTGTTTTTAAAAAGAGAATACACAGTCTTAATGCAGTGGTAACTACTGAACTGTAGAGCTTATTAAATCTCTTACTGCACCATTTTACATTTTACTCTAGTACTTTTTCATTTACAATTTAAGGATGTAACTTTTTCTCCTCCCCCCCCAGGAGATTTAAAAAGTTGTCTTATAAGTTAAGGCGTGCTGCAGATCATAGCAAATCCTTTTTAACAGTAACTTTGGTACACTTTAAGTGAATTTGCAGTTGTGCATATAGGCTAAAAGCAAAAAATTATACAATTTAAAAAATGCAAAATATCTAGCAGTTGCTAGATAAATATTTTGTAATATGTGATTAACATTCTGCAAGTCAGGAACAATATCAAAAATGGGCATACCTGTAAGACATCTTCAAATGTATTTTTCCAGTCTATCAAGTAAAATGAATCTTTGCTAAATAATAATAATAATAATAATAAAAAAGGCAACTCAGTTTACATTTTCTAACTTCTGAAACACAGAAATTGCAGAAGTCATTGAGACATGTGCCATCGTATGTACGACACAAGTGCTGTCATACCCATTTGAGCTATAATAAGTCTTATCTAATTGTGTTTATAGCAATAATCCAGCAAAAACAAATAGCATCCCAATGGACAATCTGACTGAAAGCCCTTGTTCCTTAAACTACTAAGTATTGGAAGGCAGTGATTTTGGGTACCTTAAGATGAAGCCCAGTCAAAACCAGCAATTGTTTAAGTTTCAAGCAAAATAGTTTGCCTGTATGGTGGGTTTACCCTAGCTGGATGACAGGTACCCACTAAAGCCGCTCTCTCCCT